TTAATAGATCATATTAGAAAGACCCTCTATTAAGAAAGAACTCTTTTAACATGTGCATCTCTTCATCATTAATTTGTATGAAAGAATAAAAATTGACTATATTTTTATTAATTATCTAATTAAAATATTTCATGTGGGATTAATATTAAAAATAAAATTTATTTTCGTAATTTTTTATATAAATTGTGAAAAAAACACAATAAATATACCTTTAACATATACCTTAATAACCTATTAAAAAAACTCATTAATATAATCTTAACAACTTTTTAAGTTAACTTTATGAATACCTAAAATTTAACATTAAGTTATCATTAAATTGTCAGTAATAATGAATCTTTACATTTACATTTTTAATCAATATAAAATTTAAAGCATTAGAATTTATCAACTCAACATGTATACTTACTAATACATTATATAGTAGTATTAAATATAGTTCACCTCTCTAACTAAAAATTACTAGTTCATAATAGTTGGGCTAAATGCAAATTACTGTAAAAACAAATAAATATAAGAGATAAGATTAGAAATCAACAACATAAATGATTGAATTTGAAAAAAGAAGTGGAGCAGGACATTGACAAAAAGGGTGCTTCTCTCTTCCTTGTTGGCAGCACATATGGAAAAAAAAAAAAAAAATCCAAGAAATGCTTTAACAATTGACCGTTTGTGGATTAAACGGTTCAAATAGACGACCAAGGCAACTCCGTCAGAAAAAGGATGACAACGAACAAAATAATTGGGGTACACTCAGTACAGGGACGACACTTAGTGCTTTTGGTGAAGTAGAGGGATGACAATGAACAAATCCTTAGTAGAGGGATGGACATGAATAAAAATCAAAAGTAGAGGGACAGTGGTTGGCTTTAACCCGCTTATAAAATCCAATCCCATTGAGGTTTGAATTGTCGCACCCCAAAATTATAAACCTGTTAAAAAAAATAAAAAATACAAAATTCATATCATTTTTTAAACATTATCTCTAATTTTATATATAAAGTACAAGAAAGGAGCAGATCCAGCACCGTATATTGGTTGAAGACAGACAGACACAAACAACACGTCCTCTTTGGATGCGCATGCTCTTGGGATAAGCATCTGGCTCGTATATTTACGCTGAGAGAGAGAAGATGGCGAGTCCCCGCAATGGAAGCTCCAATACTTTCGTCATGATTCCGGAGATCAAGTTTACCAAGCTCTTTATCAATGGAGAATTCGTCGATTCTGTTTCAGGTGATCTTCATTGTTCTTTCTCTATCGTTCCGTCGAACAGGTTAGATGCATGTTTAAATCCAATTTCTGCATTCTGTTAACTTTTTCCTGAATTGAATTCAAAGGAAACACGTTCGAGACGGTCGATCCAAGAACTGGAGATGTGATTGCAAGAGTTGCAGAGGGAGATAGAGAGGACGTTGACTTGGCCGTGAAAGCTGCTCGTCATGCTTTCGATAACGGCCCTTGGCCTCGCTTGTCCGGCTCTGTATGTCTTTCTCTTCCTTCCTACTACTATTTCTTAAAATAATTCTGATTATATTTGCTTTTTTCTGAAAATAAAAAATTAAGAGGGTTCATCATTAAAAATGTCTTTTCACACATCATTTTACTTTTTTTTTTTTACCAGGTAGATAATTAGAAAGTTAGTAGAATTAGTTTGTTATCAACTGAAATTTTTTTAGGAAAGTGAACGTTCCACCCTTTATTTGAGCCCTGACTTCCGCCTCACCTAAACTCTAAAACTTGGGGATCAACCAATTGGGTCAAAGGCTCGGTTGCCACACATCATTTTACTTAAAAACACAAAATTATTATTTTAATTAATATTTATATATTTATTTTAATTAATATTTTATATCTTTTAAAAATATTAAAGGACATAAAATTACAGTTATAACCTAACCGACCACAGCAATATTTCCATTGCCTATTTTCCAAAAAGAAAAAAAACAGCAATCTTAAAGCTACCATCTCAATCATTATGTAAAACTTTGATTCAAATTAAGTCAAGGACGTGGCTTTTCCATTTTTTTAATGATCTGATTATATTGCTTTTTTCATTTCTTTATCTTATTTTCGATAAATTATTTTTCAAAATTAATATTAAAAACTTTTTTAAGAATAGAAGTGG